AATTTTCAGGCTACAGCTATTTGAGTCACATTTGGCTGGGATGTATAGCATATGCTTTCAATATGGATTGGATTTTTTTTTCCATTCTCTTACCAATTGATTCATTTTGTTTAATTGCAGTGGGAGAATTACAAGTGTCAAAATTAATCCAGAAGCTCTACTCCCCACTTCCAGCTCTAAATTAGAGCCCAAGTCTGCAGGTCTGCCACGCAGAACAGCACTGACATCAGCTCAGGACCTGGCTGAGTCCTGCCTGAGCATGTCATCAGAAAATTTTGAATTATCCAGGCAGAAAACCCCACTGCATGTAGTCCTTGGAGTGGAGCCCAGGGGCTTGGGACTGCACTGGCCCATGGGATTTAAGGAAGAAATTTTTTTTGTGATGAGGGTGGTGAAACACTGGCACAGGTTGCCCAGAGAGGTGGTGGATGCCCCATCCCTGGAAACATTCAAGGTCAGGCTGGACGGGGCTCTGAGCAACCTGATCTAGTTGAAGATGTCCCTGCCCACAGCAGGGGGGTTGGACTAGATGACCTTTAGAGGTCCCTTCCAACCCAAACTATTCTATGATTCTACACGATGTATTGGGTGTTGCAGGTCTCCTGGGATATTTTAAAAGGCAGCACAGGGGTATTCCAAGCAGACTGAAATGCTACAGTTTGAAATCCCCGTCCCAGGTGTGCATTCACTACAGGGCAACAGCGGGGAAGACCGTGTTGTGTGAAGCAGCTCAGCAACTTCATGTTGTGTGTGATGGAAGGCTCGGCCAAGCTCCAGGACTGTTCAATGTTGGAGCAATGCTCGTTTGCTGCTGTAATTTTTACAATGCAGGCAGCTCTCAGATAACCCATATTTTCAACCAGGTTATACACGGCTTTTCTTTTTCTAAAGGAAACAAGAAACAGGAACCTAAAAGCATTCATAAAACACAAAATATTTGCCAGGCACATTTCTTTCTGGAATTAGAGGAAGAAGAGTTGTAGGTGTTGCTCACAACTTTTGACCAAGCGACCTTCAAGATCAGAATCAAACAAAGCTCTTCATGTCCATAAAACATGCAGAACGTCACCCTTGCAGAGCTACTGTCTGCCACGAGCCTTTAAGTTCTCTAGTGAAGCTCCCAAGCTTTCCAAAACAGTTGCCTGCAGCAATATGATGATAAAGCTACTGTGGAAAGGCTTTGCCAGAGACACTATGGACATTTACACCCAACATACTAGGATTATTTATAATAAAAATTAATTGGGGGTTGAAGAGTCAGTCAAGCATAGGATGACCAATCTCCAGACAAAGTTGTCCTATGTCAGCTTACATAAATAATCTGGTAATACTTATATATTGTTTCTCTTCCTTCCCACAAATCACTATAATCGTAAAGAAGGAACTCCTTCCCTCTATTTTTAAGCCTTGAACTTGCTAAAACTTGCATATGTAAGTATGCCTGTGCATAGATATTTCCACTGGTTCAAAAGGATGTAAAAATAAACTTGGTTGCATCTTACTCTAAGATCTTACACACAGTGATTTCTTTTTAACGATTCTAAGATTGTTTTTAAAAAGTGAATGGTTTTATCATATGTTCAGCAAAATTTTGTCTCTGACTATACTCTATTTTTAAATATACAGATGGGCAAAGTTTAAAAAAAAACAAGTAGGCTCCAGCACAAGATATCTTCAAGAATTCCTTGCACTTACTACCTATCCTGGTATTCAGTAAGAGCTGGTTGGCATTCAAGACCATCAAAAAATCACTGCAGTTATTGTGAGCGTAATTTCAAGCTCCTACTTCTGGAAATCATGGCCAAATAAAACACAAAACGTGATTGTACTTGATATTCCATAGTGTGTGAACAGAGTGTGGGCCCTGGCTCTCAAGCACGCTGCAAGCTGTGTGAACCGCTGTACCCATTATAATTGCAATAAAAAGCAATTTTCCACAGCACTTTTCGTTTAAAGAAAAATTCCTCTCAAAAGGGGTTTTTGGGGGGCGGCGCAGCAAATCTCCCAGGGATTGCTGAGCTAAAAGGGTCAACCCACAAAGCTTCTGCCGCAGGAGCAGGAAGGCAGAGCTGGTGGGGAGGGCGCTTGGCAGCCTTCAGGGCTGGGGCAGCACCTTAGACCCAGGCTCCCTGCAGTTAAGCCTCAGTATTAGCTAGGCTAGTCCTTATTTAAGCTTGAGTACTAAAGCTGTGCCCCTGCCCTTGTTTACCCTCAGCAGCGGTAGCCCCTTCCTTTTGAAAGGAAAGGAACAGTTTCGGATACCAGAGGATTTGGAGCAGAGGATCTGGATATTTTAATGTTGTTCAGGCTTCAGTCATCATGAATATCACTTTACAGCTTGGCGCATAAACAGTCCATTTCTGAGGCATGAGAAAATGAATATATTGTAACTATATTCTAGGCCTTCTGGCCCAAATCTGTTCCTGGTGAAACTCCAGGGGTTTCAGTGGAGTTGCGGCAAGAATAAATTTAGCTGTCTAGCTGTACTTTAGAATACAGTATTTCTGATTAAAAGAGAGTTTACGTGAAGATAAAGATTTGTTTCCATACACATTAAACCAAAATGGCATTCAAACTTATTCATGTAACCAAGTGCATTGTTTATAAACAATAAAACTTTTTATAGATGGAAAAAATGGAGAATAAAAAGCAGTAATAAAAATAGGACTATTCATTTTATAAATAGGAATGTAAGGAAGTATGGTATTGCTGAAATGATGTATTAAAGCAAGACTATACACCAAAATATATACATTTTTTTCTGATAGTCCTTGTCTTCCACAGAAAAGAGAGAGGTGGGGACATGGGTTGTGGGAGGCAGACATCGTCAGGAGACCCCTCAGAGCAGACTACTTCTGCTTGAGAAGACTAATTTCACAAGCACTTTTTTAAAAGGAGCTTTCACTGTCCTGCTTATTAGGAAGTTTAGAAATAACAAGTTTCACATTTCAAAGTTCAGTCATTTTTGCATTTCACCCAGGCGATAAACATGTGAGAAATCTGTACCCTGTGAAAAATGTGCATTTCAGGCACTGGTAGGATACAGCTGTCTCGGCCCTTGTTTACTTGGTTTCTCCTCTACTTCACGCTCGGCATGGGGGATTTTAGAGTTATTAAACTTTTTCCCAGTTGCCCAGAGTCGCCATCCTTTTACTCCATACTGAGCGGCCGCATATACAACCGTGTGACAGCAACTGCCCTCCCAGCTTTCAGTGCTTACCCTTCTGGCTTCGGCAGGCCCTTTTTCCTGTCACCAGGTGCATCTTCCAAAGGGAATTCCCAAATTATAAGACAGTCACTTTTCCCAGGACTCGGCATTAAGCCACCCACATTTCCAGCAACTGAACAGTTTCAGACTACCAAGGTGTCCCCTTTCCCACTGTATGGGACGTGTCTTCCTTGGCCAGTCCCATGACAGGAACGAACTCCTACAGTACCCTGTCTCATAGAGTTTGCAAGGAAGACGACAGTGGATGCTTAAACTCAGGATGAGGCCCCAAAAAATCCCCATTTAATCGTGCAGGGATTATGAGCTCAAATCTTACTAGTCTAGGTGCTCCTCAAGTCTTCACTACTGAGGTCCTGCAGGTGCCCAGGAGGAGGGTGCTCATCCGTTTGCATAAGCTTTGCAGCTATGCAAATCACCCATACATTTGGGAGCTCACAGCATTGTATATACCTGAGAAGAAGAGGCCTGAAGGACTCCCAGCTGCTTATTTTGGACACAACTTTAATGAAACATAGGAGTCATAGGGCCAGAACAACAGCCTTTGATGGGCATACACACAGGTGAGAAAGGAGTTTGGTGGTCTGCTCCTAACAACAGGTTGATACTATCCAACGAAGAGAGAATAACAACAGTGAGGACCAGAGCAAAGGCACCCACCTCCCAGATGCCTGACTGACTCTACTCCAGCCACCTCTGAGGAGTTTTAATGTTTTTAAAGCTACTTTTTCAAGTCACTGAGATAACTCTGTTAAATCTAAGAATTTTTGCTGTGATATCTATTGTCTACAAAGCTGTTTACCACAAGTCTTCACATAAGCCTTAACTTTGAGGAAGAGATTTCAGATATATACTTCAGATACATTTTTATCATGGCCAACAGAGACATTTTCTTCTCTGCTTTTCAAAGCACTCAGGCAGCGAGTTTCAGAATTGCACTGTTAGCTCAATTTGAAGATGCTCCAAAACAGCAATTGTAGAAATAAATACTTTTTGAAATGGAAATACTGTTTGTCTTTCTATTTCCTCAAAGCATTACAAAATGGACAGGAAAAAACAAACCTCATATTTTCTCATGCTAGTAAAAAAAAAAAGAAACCCATGACATCTTGCATATATGGTTACTTAAAACATGGAAATGAGGGGAACAGAACCGTTCTTCAGCAGATTCAAATACTTCCATTTACAAAAAAAGGAACCTCTTGCTGGAGCAGTGATGCATTTGCTAATGAGGTCTTTGCACTGAGCTATACACGGGTGTAACTGAAGTTATAGTCATTGTTTGCTCACTGTTAATTAAGGAGTTAGTGATTTATTAATTTAATAAATTCCGTGGAATCAAACAATCAAAGGCAATGGGCTGAATTCAAACTTGATTTAATCCACGTTTTGGATCCCTATAACGTGTAACAGGCACACCAGCTTGAGTTTTCCATTCCTGCCAGACCTTTGCTGTGTTCCTGAGTCCCTGCTAGGTAGCTGAGTCCCACCGCAAGCAGTAGGATTTGGCACTTTAGAAAAAAGATCAGAACTAAAGCTTTTAGAGCTTCTTTGTAGGATTTAATTTTTTGCTTAGCATACATGTTATATGGACTTCTAAACCAGAAAATATTATCAGTTCAAAAGCATGTATTCGTAGAAGATGATCAGAGAAATAAAGAGAAAACCCACATTTTTTTCCTCTGCTGCTACTCCAGCTTTGAAGACCTCTCAGAGAATATCAGATTCAAATGCACTTGATTTAATTCAGACACCAAACTACTTTTCTGATCTCTCACTGGGCTTGCTGACCCTCAGATATCATGCCCACTATCACCTCCTTCAAGCACAGCTGAGCAACGCCTTTGGCATCATAGCCACCAACATCTTCCAGCAGATTGCCAGGCAGTCCATAAGTGTTACTAATGCTCAAAACGAAACCAGACTCCAGGACTGGACGGTGCGTATCGGCTGGCCTGGGGAGCAGAAAGCAGAAGACCTCTGAGAAAGTAGCCGGACTCTGCAGTACAGTGGGTTTCGCATGAGGTCCATCAGCATCCAGGATGCATAACCTCCTGCAGGAAGGCAAGCGGAGCACCTGCCGAACGAAGAGAAAATGTATCACACTGTGTTTGGGAAGGGGAATAACTCCCTCAGGCCAGCCCTGGTCTGGTGGATGGGTTTATCTCTTGGACTGAATGGAGCGAACAGCATGAGATGTAGTGAGGGCAAAGAAGGCCGCTAGCGAAGCCTAAGCTAATACTCAACCGAAAACTGAAATAAAGCACAAGAAAAACAGCTCTGCGGTCTCTTTTTCACTCATTCCACTAATCCAGTTGGTTGAGGAGGAGCCTGGCCCTGATGCCCCAGGGCAGCACGTGGACAGATGCACTGCTTGCCCCCCTCCACATTTGGGGGTGAACTCCTCCATCCCTCACACGGGGTCAAATTAGCCAGCAGGATCCTAGCCCAGTCTCCAGCTGGCCAAGCTCGTTAGGTCTTTAGTTGCCAGGAAGGCAGTTGTGGCCAGCTGTAAAGCTGATACCCCGTGCAGAGCCTGCCAAAGGTCAGCAGTCATCAGCTGGCCAGCTGCGGGTCCTCCTGCGGGACCCCAAGGTCCGGCTGAGAGGAGTAAGGAGAAGTGATGAGCGAGTCAAGAGCTCTGCAGAGGAGGAGGAGGGGAGGGAGCAGGTCTGGGGTGGGGAGAAGTCAGCTGCCTGCTGTGGGTAAGTCTGACTGCTCCTGACAAACAGGCTGAGCTGGGAAGGCAAAGATGCTGAATTTCCCCCAAAATGCAGCCTTGAATTTGGGGTGTTCCTAGCCATATTTTGACAAACAGTATGAATTAAGACCCCTTCATCCTCCAAGAACTAATCACTAAAAGTTTATCGCTTTTAAGCCTTACCACAGGAGAAGAAAGAGGTTGACCTTTTCCTACAGAGAAAATGAGTCTTTTTCCACACAAGCAGCTCAGAAATACAAACATAGAGCAAGCAGGACTTTTGTCCTGATGTTGTATTTAAGAGATCTTTGCTAAGTTCCTATGTCAGTTTTGTAATGTACAGTGGGCCTTTTGATCTGAGATTAAAATATGTATTTCACTGAAGATCTCCATTTGGTTTCTTAACAAAAGATAAAAGATACAAGAAGACCTTCACACACACACACAAAAAGCACAGCTGCCTCCTCAGGCAGAATATAAGCCAAGAAAGCATGATTTTCAAAGGTAAAATTAAAATAAAAAATTATTTTTTTTTTTAAATTGCACAGAATTATGCTTTTCATTGCAGTGAGTGATAGTCAGAAAACTTGCAGCTTCTGTGTTACATTATTCTGACACCATGAGGCATCCCTCCACCTGCCTGCCTGCCTGCGAGATCACTGCATACCATTAGAGAGCCTGCAGCACTCAGCCAGGTAGTAGGAGTTGAGAGAGGTGAGAGGTGGAGCTCAGATTGTCTAGACTACCATCTTCTCGTGTATTTGTGGGCACAGCCTTCCTTAAATGAATGCGATTCACATAGAATACAAATCTTTCTTTTCAGTTACACATTATTATTACTGAATACGCAAAACCTGATACAGCGTACCTCCCAAAACAGCAGCCTTTTACACCTTGTTCTTCCCAATCCACGGGCTAAAGGTGGTTTCACAGTGCTAACTTCCACCCCTTCCGAGGATTACAGCACATTGTGGCTCACAGGAGCTTTGTTTATAGATGTCCTGTAATTAAGAGTTTGTTTTCTTGGTGTGTATAACAAAACCCTCAGGCTGTAATCTAGCCTAGTAGGACTGAGGAGGCTGTGGACAAACATCCCACAGACGGGATACTTCTCCTCACTCTCCGAAAAGCTACTTCTCAGAAGTATTGACCTTTTTGCAACTCTTAAAATGTCTGCCAGCCAAAGAGAGGTGTACATTACCAACATGTGATTTGCTAGTGTTACTCTGCATACTTCACAGGCGATGGCTTGCCAAGGTCAGCGCAGTGCAGAATGAAATGCTGAAAGTTCTGCAACTTAGGTCATTTTAAACCATCATTTAAAATGATCTGCACTGTATTAGATCCTGGCCATAAGCAGTATCCTTGGGACGGTATTTTGGTTGAGAGGAGTGAGCACTGCAGCACTGCAGCACTGTATGAGAAATCATGAATAAAACCACTGACGTTCACAGTCTTGCGTAAGGATTTCTATGAACAGAAGGCTCAGGAAGTGATTGCCCGTAACCAAGAAAGGCTGTGTTAAGTTAAGACACTTGCATACTCCTGAAGCATCTGTAATGACAAGAGTGCGCGAATACCTTGTTTGTACCTCTGCATGATCTCAGTCCAGGGTTTTCAAACCACTTTTTCTACTCGATGACTACTTGGGACCTATCTATATACACAGAAAGCCCCTTCTGGAAAAAGCTCCTCCTGAATTACTCTGCAGGAAAGAAAACACTTACCTCAAGGTTACACAGCAAGGGCAGAAAGTGATTTTGAAGGGAGCCGCGCAGGAGGGGGCAGGCTGGCCTTGCCCTGTGTCAGAAGCACAGCTGCCTGCTGCCCAGCTGAGCAGCTCAGGCAGGTAGGTGCCACCTCCCTTTCTCTGCAGCCCTTTTGGGGACACACAGCCCCTCGGTGTGCTGCGAGGACAGGGCCATCTCTAAGCTAGGCTTCCTTCATCCTCAGTTCAGAGATGCTGCCAAGGAGCAGTCAGGTGGTAACTTTTGGTGCCATGACTAAGCTGGGCTGGGTTCAAGTGAAAGATTTATCAGAGGTGAAATACCACTTCCAGGCCCCTTGGCCCCCCAGTGCTAACGACATAAACACAAATGGCAAATAAGTCCTTATCCCACGCTAGTGAGGTGTATATCCCTTCCCACTCAGAGTGTTATCATAGGAGGCATTTCTGGATGCACTGAAGGAGCCCATCTCCCCATTTCATCTCTGTCTTTTTGGGGGGGCTAGAAAAGTTTTGGATTACAACTAGAGCAGCGCAAAGGGCTGGAAATTTTTCATGGTAGAAAGACTTAGATTTAGTGCCTGGAAGGAAATACTTGTTAACTCTGAAACTCATAAAGACTTGACCTGGCTGTTTCTAAACCCCTGTAAAAAAAGTAATGAATTTTCATCCTGGCTGGTGGGACCAAAGTCATCAGGAGCAAATAGATCTATATTGCTTTCTGAATACTGTGAAAAGTACCTTGTGGATTGTGAAAGAGATATTTGTGGTTTGTTCTTGCAAACTTTACTAAATTTATCTCTGCCAGAGCACTGAGAGTGGCTGAGAGTAAAATTCCCCAACCGAGTATCAGAGCTAGATCATACAGTTGTTTTACAGGGGAGAGTCACTGTGCAATCTTAGGGCCAAATCCTGGAATACGTCTTCAGTCTTCATACCCAGGGAGAGAAACAAGGGCTTTGCTGGGGGTGGGGGAGGTGTGGAGAAAAAAAAAAAAAGGAAGACAACTATGAAATATTACTTTTACTCTTGCAGAAGATAAAGGAAATTCTGCCCATAGCAGCACAGGAATGGAGGGAGAATTTGACCCTCCACGTTTTTGTTCCTCCATCAGCCGTCTCAGAATAATACCCACCGGTGATGGGAGAAACAAGCCCCCAGGCCCCAGCCCGGCAAGGCGCTCCATCTCCCGGCCCAGGACCGCCGTCACGAGGCAGGTCCCCATGCAGGCAGGAGCCGGGGGTGACCGAGTCTGGGCTGGGGCCGAACACGGATGCTGGCGGGTACCCCGCAGCCGGGTCTCGCTGCCCTCCCCGGTACCAGGGAATGCACTTAAAGAACCAGCAGGCCAGACAGCTCTCTTAACAGCACGTTTTATTTGCAACGGGGTTTCCAGGGTAGCGCGTGTGTCCCGAGCCCCGGGGTCTGTCTGCCCCGGGGGGAGCCCGGGCCGGGGCCCGGCGGGGCGCTTCGCCCCAGGCCCCGGAGGGAGGCGGCGGGC